ACCAGGTGGGCATGCGGGGGAACACGGAGAGCGGACACAGAGCCGAGATAGGACAGAGGAAGGAGAGTCCGGAGAGATGGGTGTGGGTGTCAGGGTGTGAGGCCCGGGGAAGAGCGGGTGGCGCGGGGGTGGAGGACCCCAACATTTCTGAAGGTTTGGATGGGGGTGGCTTGAGGGCGGAGGGTGGACTGTGGAACTTGCTCTGAGCCCCAAGCTTACATGTATCATGAAAAGACACAAACGGACAAAGCAAAGTGACCCACAGCGCACCAAGGTTGCTCAAGAAAGGGCCTAGGAAAAGTTCAGCCCTCCTCCAAGTGGCCTGGTTAGAAGGCTGCTCTGATGAACCATCTTCATCCTGCCGGTCCTGGCTTGCTTCTTTGTGCTCCTTGGTGGTGTGTGTGTGTGTGTAGGGTCGCTCTTTCTTGAGGGATGAATGGAGCAGGTGCTATACACTGCCCTTCTCTGAAAAAGTTTGGCGCTTTCACAAAGCCCGTGGAAGGTTGTTAGCGCAGGAGCACCCGTGGGCGTGGGGGAGGTGGCTGAACCACATCAAGGGCAGATGCAGGCAGGCAGGCCTCTGGTAATGATGGAAGGATCGATACAGAGCCCTAACGAGCTGCCGAGGAGACCCTTTCTGCGGCCACCTCCTTCCTGGACCCATGCTGGGCCGACTTGAAAGACCACCCATTAATTACCTACCTGGTGTGGTGCAGAATCCCAGCCTGCCCTCCCCAGACCCCCGGGAGCTCACTGCCCCTGTGGTGGGGGAGGTGGGGTCTCCGTCCCTGTGTGGAGTGTGTTGGCCGGGGCTTGGCTGCCCTTCCTGGTGAAGCTGGGCCTTAGGATGGCAGTAACCACATTCCTGCAGGGCCAACGCTTGGTGCCTCCATTCTGTTTACTTTCCTGAGAAATGAAATCTGTTTACTGCCTTCTCCGGAGCCTTCCACGTTCCCAACCACACCCACCTTCTGCCAGCAGCTGTGTTTGCTCTGCATAGTTTCCCAAGTCTCTGGCAGGCCCATGGGGAAGGCCGCTGGGCACCTGGCTCAGCACAGCATAGGGCCAGCCCCTGCCCCCACTTCCTGGCAGGCTGGCTGCTTGCAGGCCAGCCAGAGAACCAGGTTTAGGAGGCCGTTCTCTGTCAGAGGGCCCGAGTCAGCTGCGGGTGAGCCCCACCGCTCTACCAGGAGGAACATGGTGTGAGGCTTCTCCTCCATGGGGCGTGCCCTCCTGCATACCAGCTGCTCCATGACAGCCCCTCTGGGACCGTGAGCCGGAGGGGACAGCACCAGGTACCCTCTGAGCACTCCCTGCCCATGCTCCCCACTGGGCAGAGTGGAACTAGCCCCCAGGGAGCCCCCATGCATGCCCCTGAGGGTGGAGGAGATGGGGTTGCTGCTCACACACAGGGAGGGCAGAGGGCTGGACTAAAGACCTCAGAATCCAGGCAGCCCTGAGCTTCCCTCTTCCCAATCCACAGCAAGCCTTGGGCCAGTGCTGTAAGACCCCTCTGGGCTGCTGTTTCTGTGTCTTTGCTGTTGGTGTGCTCTCATTTCCTATTGTGCAGACGTGCGTGTATGGGGGGCCAGGTAGCAGGACTTAGGATGGGAAGGTTACTGAGGAAGAAGGAGTCAGACTTTGGATTTGGACACATAGAAGATGGGTTAAAAGTATTGTCTATTTGAAATAGTGACTTTAGAGCATGTGTATATACAGGGCTGGAAGGCATGTGATTGACAAATAAACATGGTGGGTGTTGAAATCATGGGCCTTCTTGTCTGGGGCAGTGGAGTAGAGGAGGCCCAGAGGCCCCCGGGGCACCAACACCTGCCCACATAGCCCCTGTTAGCTCAGAGCATGGCAGGTGCCAGGGTCAGTGTCTTGGGTTTATCCCACCCTCCCCTGGGAGATCAGGGACACGAGATGCTGGCAGAAGATCCTCAATTCCCACCACCTGACAGAACTGCGGTAGCTCAGTGGTGCAGCACCTGCCAGGCAAGCACAAGATCCTGATTTCGATTCTCAGTACCCACCCACGAAAGAGCTGTGGTGTATTCCAACACATGAACCCCTGGTGGGTGGGCTGCCCAGTGCAAACTGCCAGCCAAACTGCCGGGGAGCAGCTGGGCAGGCAGTAGGGGCTGCATACTTCAGAGAGGGGAGACTGGAGCCCTCTCTCCGCTTGGGGCCTGCTCACTGCCCAGCTGAGAGGCAGCGAGAGTACAATCGACTGTAATGACACAAGGGCCTCTGACTTCTTCCGCTTTCTTTCCTGAGCGCTGGCTTCCCTGGCTCCAGGAGAGGGTCTGCTCAGGGCCCCGTGGTCCTCCCACTGTGGATGCTGGCAGTGCGCCCTCACCCCTGTAGCTGTGGCACTCACAGCTCCTGGCTGTCAAGTGCAAGTGCTAGCAGATCAGCATCCAACCTGAGCTCCTTTTTCTGATGTGAGAGGCACACCCAGCATTGTCAGGAGGATGTTTCTCACCAATTATCTTGCATTTCCAAATGTATCTCTCATGCACCATCGCCAAAAATCCACACCTTAAAGCCCAGGATGGTCCGACTTCATTCACAGATGTCCTTTCCCTAAAGATACCCCTTACATGCACTGCGAACAAACCCCAAGCTTCCGCAGGACCCACAGATTTGGAGGGTATCAGCAGCTCCCTGAGCTTTAAAGGAGAGAGGGTACCTGACAGCCCGAAAGCAGTTGGGGATTTCACCTGCCATGCCAGCTCGTCTGTACTGATCTTGATCACTACGTTGGTGTCTTGGAAGAACTCCCCCCACCCCAGGAGCTGAATGTGGGCCAGGTCCCTGGTGGTCAGTGCAGCAGCACTGGGAACCCTGCTTGGAACTGAGGCTCTCTCTATCTTCCGAAAGATTTGAGGTTTTCCTCTGACCGTCTCTGGCCACCGCTCCATTGTAAAGTGTCAATTTTGGAGCCGTTCCTGGGGTGGGGAAAGACAGTCTTCTGGGGTGTGAGCTATTTCTATTGTCCTTATTCAACTGTCCTCCGGCTGGGACCCAGTGTAGGAGTTTTTATAACTCTGATGTGATAAGGTTACTTGATATGATCAGGGTCATGTGGCCCAGACGCCACAGTGCGCAGCCACCCCGAGATCGCACAGATGTGAACTGTGGGAGACACACGTGTCTGCCGCAATGCTGCCCTCCACACGCTGAGGGCAGAGTCCTGCACACACGTGAGTTGTGACGTCTTCTTCTCTTTTACCCGGTGTGTGGCAGAGGACTCAGCTTGAGACAGCACTGAATGCCGCTGTGTGGACAGGTGAGGGCACGAACTTGCAAACTTGACTTCAGTAACCCAATACTAGGCAAGTGATACCCTGTTGGGTTTAAGGAAATGTGCTAAGTTCAGAATTTGGGGATGAAAGCCTGAAGCTCGGAGTAAGAAACAAACACTGATGACGCACACCCCTCACTATTCACACATTCCAATATCTCCTCCCATAATGTCCTTGGGGAGGAAACAGGGAGCGCTTCTCGGAATCCATCCTCTGTCCATGGCGCCACACGGCAGGATGCCAGAGGCGCCCGGTGTGAACTGCTCAGAGCAGGGACACCAGTGTCTGAGGCCACTTTCCAGAGAGGGCTCCCTGCCTTTCAGAATCCAGCCTCTGCCCCGGAAGAAGGAGGTCCTGGTTGGTGCCACACCTTCTTAGGACAGAGCTAAAAGCCACCTGCCCACACCAGCGGTCACTCTCCATGTGTCGTGTTTGCATGGCTCGGAGCTAAGAAATGTTTCTATGCTGACAAACGCTTGAAAGAAGTCAACAGAAGAATAATACTTCGTGACACTCGGAAATGACAGGAATCCAAATATCGGTGCCCTTAAATACAGTTTTCTGCTTGTCGATGATTTACATAGTGTCTCCAGCTCAGCATGGCGGAGGTGAGTGGCTTCCACAGTGACCTCAGGGTTGGAAGCTACCTGGCTTTTTGCAGGGAAATGTGAGCCTGGTTGAGAAATTGAGAGCCATGGCTGTGCGTCCCAGCAAACTCTTTATTCCTCATTTTCATTCACAAAGCTTATGACTTAATCTTGCTTTTGGTTCCCTTTCTCTGCTGCTGTGACCTCGAGGAATGGATGTGTGCTCTAGGGCACAGCAGCCCCATGGAGGGTGCCCTGCCGGAGGCTGTGAGTGGCCAGGCTCTGCACAGTGTCACGCAGGGGAGGCTCTGCGGGACAGAACAGGGTCCCCGAGGCACGGTCAGAGGCCCCTAGTGGCCTGAAATTACTCCCTTGGCAGATAACTGATCCTGGACAGGCATCCTTTGCTCACAGAGAGGAATGCAGCAATGAAACAAATAACATAGCAGCTTTTTTATTAGTATCTTACTACATGTTGAATATCTATAATCTAAAAATATGAAGTTTGAAATGCTTTAAAATCTGAAAGTATCTGAGTGTGATGCTCACAATATTTAGACTTTGGAGCATTTTTTTGTGGTTTTTAATTTTTATTTATTTTTATTTTTTTGGTACCAGGGATCGAACTTGGGTCCTTGCACTTTTGAGGCAGACGGTGGAACCACTAAGCTAAATCCCCGGCCCCTACACGGTATTCTTTTGATTCAAGAGTTGTATTAATAGATGTGGTACTGGGGATTGTACGTTTATGCTCACTGTGGTCCAAGGCACAGGCCTCAGTGGGTGTCACAGGCTGAGCCAAGGCCCGTAGGTTTCCCTGCATGGACAAACCTGGCCCTGCTCTGTCCGGGGAGCCTTCATTCAGGCAGACAGATACGAGGGCTCACGCAGCGGCCACTTGGTCAGGAGCCCTAGCTGCTCATTTCAACAGCAACACTGAGCTGTTTGGCCATTTCATGTCTCCAAGCACAGCCTATGCCATTTTTCTCTGATGGATTCTTTGTAACTACAAACATTTCTGAAGGACTTATTCAAGCGTGACTCCACAATGTGATTGTGCGAGGGGAGTTTGCCTTTCACTGTAACTGGGAGGGTGTTTTGCATCTGATATAATTTGTCAGTGGCTAGTTTTGAAAGGGGTGGGACTCTGGAGGTCAGTCCAGGGACAAGAGCCCTTCCACACTGCCATGCAACCCCACATGTAGCTGCCCGCATGTTTTTGTCAACAGCTCCCTGAATATCCAAGCCTGACTTCAGTAGTAGGGAGTAGCGGTCAAGTGCAGACATGGTGGTTTTATGAGATCTTTAAAAATAGCTCATGGTGGCCATTGTTGTCTTTGTAAATGGGACATGTAGATGACTTTACAGGCATGGCAGACAGCTGTCTGTTATTTTTTTAAAAATGAGAATAAATTATTGGCTATTACTTTAAACACACCTGAAGACTGACACAGTCATTCACTTACTCATCCCATAATCATTATGCAGTCTTTATTATGTTTTAGGGTGTGTTGCAAGATTTTGGAGATTCAGAATTAGAGACTATCATACCCCGTCTAGAAGGGTCACATGGGGAAAATGCAGAGGCCAGAGCTCTGTGGTGGACAGGAGTTGGTCCAATGTCTTCTTTCCTGCCCGCAGAACAAAGTCACCCAGGATGGGAATGGCACCGCCTTCTGGCCCAGTGGTTCTGGTTGGGCTCCTGCTGTGCACGGCTTTGGGCCATCTTACCTGGCTCAGCTCAAGACATTTTTGTCATCCTCACCTCTCTAACTTCATCCGAAACCCAAGCTGCCCAATCTCCTCTTCTCTGCCAACTTTAGTCCACGTGAAAACTCAACTTCTTTCAAAAGCGACTTGGCATATGGAGTTGCTGAGCAACTGTCAAAATCTTGGAGGAGTTGTGATAAGACAGAGGGAGTAGGAGACTAGAATTTTGGTTTTAAGATGGGAAAAAGGTTTGTATTCTTCAGACTCATGAACGTCACATTAACCCTGGGAAAGATGGCTAATTGGATTAGGGAAAAGATGGCTTGGGAATATTTAGAAAAAGCTCAGAAGGTCATTAGGAGTCAGTCAAGGTGGACCAGAAGAACTTTCTTTTGTGACTGATTATTTTTCAGTATGTGGATGGGCAAGCAACATGTATCTATATTTCGACCTGCAGTAGAAAGAGTTATGAAAACTTCTTGGAGAAGATGGAAAAACTATGATTCTTTCTTTGGCAAAATCTGGTTCAATAACTCAAACCAGATAGTAACTTGATGTGTCTGGTGCAGCAGGGTCCCAGATTCACGGGAGACAATTTTTCCACAGACCTGGGACAGGGTCGGAGCTGGCTCTGGGATGAGCCTCACAAAGCGTGTGCAACCCGGACCCCTTGTGTGCATAGTGCAGAGCAGGGCTCATGCCCCTCTGAGAATCCAGTGCCTGCTAGTCTGACAGGAGGTGGTGTGCAGGAGGCGGAGTGGTGGGGAGCAGATGAAGCTTCCTCTGACAGCCTGCTGCTCACCTCTGGGTGTGTGGCTCTGTACTGGCCCCAGTCCCAGGCCCGCAGGGGGTTGGGGACCCTGCCCTGTGACAGTGGTTAATACCTTAGTTGCAAAATGGAATCACCGAGGAGCTTTACCAGCACTGATGCCTGGATCCCAGCCTGACAGACTCTGGCCAGAAAGCTTCTCACAGGTGAGAGGAGTGGGCTGATTTACTTCATGCCCAAGAGGAAGCTAAAACTCCAGGCGCGTAGGATCGTGGGACTTGCTGCTGTGCATTCTCTTGTTTCTGGCCCTGGAGACCATTGTATGTGAGTCCAGAGCTTGCTGGTTCCCCAGTGAGTGGGTGCTTGCACACTCATTCAGGTGGCACTTGAAGCATGTGTATACAGGGAGAGGAACTTGGCAGCAAGGTGCTGTGACATCCCTTTACTCATTGGACTCCTGGCTTGGTAGCACCCAGCATCCTCCCAAGTCCCTGAGGCCTTGGCGTCTCGGTTCCTGGCTTTCCTCAACTTCTGTGTTTGTTCCAGTTGTGTCCATTGTGCCCTACTCTCACACTGGCATGCACAGTTAGGTCACATATGGTGAGTTGGCAGTTAAAGTGAAGGTGGGGTGGCTTTGCACATCCTTTTTCAACCTCTCCTCTGGTTTTATTTCCTCTCTGGTGCCACCATTAAAATCCTTGCCGTCTCCCATGCAGTGTGGTTCCATGCATTCTTGGGTCCTGGGGGTTTTGGTAGCTGGTCAAAGACATGTTTCTGAACCAATACAATGCCCTCCTGGCGAGAAAGGGATTCTCATTTATATACTTTTCTCCAACTCAGTACCTTTAATATTTTTAATTCTTCAGATGAACTGTCAAATGGTATCTACTTGGTGGAAGAGCCTCATTTGTATGGTGGACCATGGCAGAGTAGTAAACAAATGTAATTGCCGTGGGCTTCTATTGCTGAGTATGGAGTGAATTTAGGAAAAATAAGCCAAAAATCCAAGCAGAAGAGGATGCCGGGCTTTGTCCAGATGACTGAATGAAGAGACTCAATCTCCCTAGAAATGAGTCAGATAGTAACCAGATTTGAGTATAATGTTGCAAAGAATAGTTTTGGAAATTAAACAGTAAGCATAATGTTTTGTCTGCAGGAGGCACAGAAATGAGTCCTGCATTCCTGAGCCTTGTAGTGCAGGTAGCTAATGAGAAAAGACTTTTGCCTCAGGACCAAATGAGAGGAAAAAGGTAAAAATCTACCCTGAAATTATAATGACATGCACAAACGGTAGTGTTTGAATGGTAATTATTATTTTCCTGTGACATGGAGATCTTGCCTTCCTGTCACTGAGCTGACAATTTCCCTCAGCAGCCGCCGAGGATAAGCGCCCCCGGTGGGACCCGGTGGGAAGGCCCTGCTGAGCCTGATGTGGGGCAGCCAGCTTTTTCCATAGCTCAGCTTTCTGTGCCTTCTGGCCAAGACAGGAGTTTCCAAGGTGTCAGGGTGTCCCTGCCATATCCTCCTATTGCTGGAGCAGGGCCAAGGTT